TTGAAATGAAAATGGGGGTCCACGATAGTGGATCTCAACCGGTGGCACCCGACTATATCAAAATCCCGACAACCATAATCCCGACTATATCGAAATCCCGACTTTATCGAAATCCCGACAGTGTCTTTTATTATATATGACTGCCAAAACAGAACATTCATGAGTTATCTTCGCGGAATAGCTCGACTGTATCGAAATCCCGACTATATCAAAATCTCGACAATAGCTCATAGTGTTTCATTAATTTTTGTTTTATAATAAGCTAGGATAATTTTAAAAATTCATCGCTCGAGTTTTTTTAATTTCTAGAATATAACGGGGGGGGGAGTTGAGATTAATAATTGTTGTTATTTATTGTATTTGAGATTTCATTGAATTATTCATAATAAACTTTGACAATTTGAAATAATCTGAAATGTAATTATTAATACCAATATATATTTATTATTGTATTTGTTTTCATTGACTTAATAAAACTTAAAATTAAGAAATATTTTAAATTCAAATTAATTTATTGTTATTAATATTAATTAATCGTAGATGGTGATTGCGTTTCGGAATAATTTAAAAAATTTATTGTATAAATTATAATAATAAGGCACTGTCGGGATTTCGATACTGTCGGGATTTCGATAAAGTCGGAATTTCAATAGTAAAAGTATCCATGAAGTAAATAAAATATTATATATGTTTATAAAATTGTGTAAGTTGTAAGATGTAGGCATTCGCTTTGTGGTCGCAATACATTTTGAACTTGTAAAAACCTGCACATAATGATATACCAGTATCATCTTGCTACAAGCATACGAGCAGTCTCAGAGCAAAGATCTTAATAATTATAAAGATCTCCCAATATAAATAATAAATTTACAAACAATCAATATCTGGTAAGTAAGGGGTCTACCCAACACCGAAAAACATGGCAAGTTTTGAACCTCTGAACTAAACCAAACCTTTATCCATTCTCTCTCTCTCGATCTCACACACATTCATTGTGCAACATACAGACAATACTTGCCTGCAATGCAATCACGTCGCTGTCTGCCATTATAGCAGGAACGACGAACGTGCCTTCTCCGTTCGTTATCTCGATGTCCTGACTATAGATGGATGTAGTGTTATCGTACACCTTCACACGAACCCTAACCGATTTCTCAGTGCTCATTGCCTCAACCTAAACAGAAAATATAATTATTTTAAAAGCGACTTGTTTTGAACTCATCAATACCTTTCCGGAAAACGGTAGACCCGGTTTGTAACGTCTTCGCATTTCCCTTCCGAAACGTAACTCGACGTAATGTTCTTCCGCCGCCGCAACATCCGGTAAACTTCCCCCAACACCTGGGGCAACGTCGAATGGAGCGGTGAATTCGTTTCCATCGACATCGACGTGGATCAACCAACGCCCGATGCTCGCGTACTCGGACAGGGGAAGAGTAAACGCTTTGACACCTGTTAAAATGAAATCAAAACCGTACAATAAAAGAAGAAACGAAGCAGAAACGAAAAGAAAAACGTTTACCTTCGTCCAGCGGGATTTGATCCCAATAGGAGATCTTAGTGTCTGCAGGATCCTTGACGCTGACGGTTCCCACGGCCCCAGCGGCGATTTGCAAATCATGATCGAGCGCCAAAAGCCAGAACGAGACTGAAAAACGAAGCGACAAAAGCGTATATGTAACAAAAGAACAGACATAAACACGACTATAAAAAAATATAGTCAAAGAAAGTAGTTCACCTAAAAACTTATGGCCCAAAATTAAATTTCTTTCACTCGGAATGCAAAGTTTCTTTTTACGCCCCGAAGTGCTTTTTGTTGTTGAGCAATGAAAGAAAGTGACGGACCGCAACTCCAGTTTTTTATGTTTACTCTATGTTTACTGTTGTTGTTCACCCTTATATATATATATTTGGGAGAAGACGGGGGTGGAAAACTTCTAATTTGGGATGTAAAGTTTGCCTCCTCTTATTTTTTTTTTCGTTCGCTCGATGCGGGTCGTGTCGGCGCTTTTAATAAATTAAATTCGTGGAGGCGGCAGCGTTAGACCCTACCATATTTTTTTTTGCCCTCCCCGTCCGCCGCGCGCCCTAACTTATCTGATTTACGCCCGACTTTTCAAACGCCTTTATATTTTACAACTTTCGGTTACGTAACTTTTCAAACTTTAGCCACGAATCCAAACCGAGAGACCTAAAACACTCTCGATCATTCCACATTCCCGCAAGACTTGATATTGTTCTCTAATTCTATAGAATTAGATATTTCTATTATTTACTTTTCTAGAACAAATTATGTAATAACTGAAAATCCTATAATTCTATGAAAATGTTTGCTATGCTTTTTAACTTGAAGTTTAATTTATGGAGAAGTCGGAGACACTGAATATAAGAACAATGTAAGAAACGAGTGCATTGTTTTGTCAAATCTCGATATAATAGAAGTCCTCTCTTCAGGTTGGTACGAAATGGCCTCCTCCAAACATTTCCCCGCCGGCTCCTACATTCCACATCCACCCTAATATGCATAGCACTTGCTCTTCTAAAACCCAACCCTTCCCCCCCACCCTTCGTTCAAGTGTTAGTGTAGTTTCATGTTGCGGCAACAATGGTTTCATTAGTTTCTAGTCTGCTTATACCTTGAATATTAAGTTTGCTTTGTGTCTCTTGTGCGCTCATGCCTACCCACACACACACACATGCACAATACCCACCCTCTCTTCAACTCTCCTTCGACCCCTCCAGCAACTAAATCTCAATTACACACGCACTTAACATGCACACGAAATAACGCGCGTCGTGTCGCTTCGGACATGGGGGAGGGTGGAAAAATGCAATTAATTAACTTGTTAACCAAAAAAGAAACAAACAAAAAAAAATAGTACCCCTCCCTTCATTACATTTTTTCTTTTCCTGTTCGGTCCCCCCTTTTTAATCAAGAACGCGAACAATAATTTACATTTCATCGAAAAATGCGAATATATAAAAGAGCACCAATTTAAATTTCCATTCCAGTTCGTTAAGGCAAACACGCAAAAAGGAAATATATTTATAGCGGAGCAAAAGTAGCTTCCATTAATTAGGTTAAAAATTTAAAAGCTTCCAGGTTTTCATCATTCTGTTATAATAAATTGCCAATATATTCGAGAATTAAATCGACTGAGAATTTAACCTCATTATATAACTAATTGTTGATTTTATAAAATATATTGTCATGGTAATAACTTATATTTTTTTTCCAAGTTGTCATGGTAATAAAAACGTTTAATTGCTTTGTTAAGATTACCAATTGAGACTGCGGTTGGATATGGTAAAAATCCGTTACGTCAATATTGGATGTGCGCATATTTATCCTAAATAAACGAAAGGAAAACGGTTGTAATCCGTTGTACGTGCGTACGATAGCGCCCCTGGATGGTAAAACAGGGCATTTTCGAAAGCCTTATCGGAGACGTCCAATTAAAGTTAAACCCCCCCGAAGAGATACGAAACTTTCGCAAAGAACTCTCGCTCTCTCTCTCATTCTCGTTTGATAACATGCACATGGACGTCTTATCCGGATCTAGTAAAACTGTTGTTTCCTTACGTGTTTCGCCGGGTCGGTAGGCGTGCCTCGCCGGTCGTATGATCACATCCCTTACGGGTCCGACGAGCCGCATCTGCGAAGTGCTCTGCAGATCGCAATCCTTCTCATCCTCGGTGCAGTTGACGGAGGTCCTGAGCAGATAGGCACCGGCAGCATCCGACGGTACGTCCAGAGGAAGTATGCCATGACCTGAAACAAGAAAACAAGAACAAAACAACATCAATAAGTAAACCGGAAACGTCATTTGTTTTATCGCCACCACCCCCCGCGCTTGGAGCTAATGGAAAACGGACTCATTTCCTGCATTAAAATTCGCTCGTGAAAATTGGAACGGGAAACGGGAGTGTGACCCAATTCCCGTATTTCCCCACATCTTTGCACATATGCACAGACAGCGTCGCGTTTGATATTTTGTATCCGAGCAAACATAGCCGAAACTCCCGGCGGAATCGTAGCTTCTTATGTTGAAGAGAAACAAAAAAAAAACCGTTCCCGCAGGAACATCACTACATCAGAATCCTTGGCAGACGAACATGGATACTTCTATTTCGCGACGCTTTTTATCGTCAAAGAATTTTACATGTAAATAGACAAAGTCTCCTAGACAAAGAAATAAACTACATTCAATGATAACAATGTTTTCTAATACTGCTGTTAATAATAAATACTGATTTTGTTTCATTTCATAAATGCGCCAGGTTCATGTGTAACTATAAATTTAATACTTTGCGGACGAGTGGCGGATATATACTACACTTTTTTAGATGGAGGTTAGTTCTTCCTCAATTAGCTTTAATAGATTTTAAAATATGTTATGATTTAATTATTAAACATTTATATTTAACACAATAAAAGTGAAAATCAGGTCATTTCGAGTTAGCATCGGTGATCGTAGCTTCTTATGTTGAAGAGAAACAAAAGAAAAAACAACTTTACTTTAAAAAAAAAACCCGTTCCCGCAGGAACATCACTACATCAGAATCCTTGGCAGACGAACATGGATACTACTACTATTTCGCGACGCTTTTTATCGTCAAAGAATTTTACATATAAATAGACAAAGTCTCCTAGACAAAGAAATAAACTACATTCAATGATAACAATGTTTCCTAATACTGCTGTTAATAATAAATACTGATTTTGTTTCATTTCATAAATGCGCCAGGTTCATGTGTAACTATAAATTTAATACTTTGCGGACGAGTGGCGGATATATACTACACTTTTTTAGATAGAGGTTAGTTCTTCCTCAATTAGCTTTAATAGATTTTAAAATATGTTATGATTTAATTATTGAACATTTATATTTAACAAAGTAAAAGTGAAAATCAGGTCATTTCGGTGATCGTCGAATTGTGATTATTGAATGTGTGGGGTGGATTGTTTGTAAGTGGGGTAATGCGATGTAACGAGGTCGTAACGGACGATTAAGGCACAACAGAAGAGAAGAGCAAATGCACACACGTGACCGAAAACAGTGTATGCAGTTTGTGTGTGTGTATATAGTGAACAAATTACGTCCTATGGCTGGAGGTGAACTTGCAAATGGGACACGCGGACGAGAAATACATTTTGTAAACTCGGGGGCGAAAGGGCCAAGTTTATTTGACTTTTATACGAGTTTGTTGGAGAATTTTGTTTGTTGTTCGCGAAGGGGTTTCGATGCTAGGAAATAACTGCGGACGGGATAGAATAAAGCATTTTGCCATCTCTTCTCTCTATTTTACTTTATTTTTATTTTCCCCAAAGAGGAAGAGGAGTGGATACACGGCATAAACAAACCGATCGTAAATGGATTATCCTGTAGTGGCCGAATGTTGTTGTGCCACTTGAATGGAGAGCGCCGCAACAAGGGTTGTAGAAACTGGGCGAACACACCAGCACCGATAGATAGATGGATAGATAAATGGTCGAGAAGAGAAACGCAGAGAGAGATGAAATCCAATAATGGAACTTCATAATCAACTCCCAACCCAACCCTCTTGTGACGTCAATTTATTTCGCGGAGTGGAAACTTAACTGGGGATGCGTTTAAAGGCAACATTAATGCGGTTTGATATAATGTGGATACTTTTTTTTTAGTTTTTTTTTTTAGTTTCAAATGTTCTTATTCATATATAAAGTGGTTTACATGTTTGAATTTTGCATAGTATTCATACCGCTTAAGCCTAAGCTCTTTCAGCATGCAGTTTAAGGGTTAGATTTAATGAGTATTAAAAAAAATTAACATTGTGGGATAGAAGCACATTGTAGAGTAAAAACACAACATTCTTGAAATCAGGAAGTGTTTAGAATATGAATAGAAATTTTAGAGAACAAGTACACATTTAGAAAACATTAAGATTACACATTTTAAAGGACACCTATTACACATCTTATAGACACTAAGCAATATAAATAAGAAAGAAATTGGAATATGGAATATCACAGAAAGAATGGATCATTGAAAATGGGAACATCAGATTCAAGATTCTGCACTAGTTTAGCTGGAAAAATGCCATTCCCCATTTTAGTTTTTGGTTTTAGCCTGAGACATTAACTGGGAGAAAGTTTGAATAGAGAAAGTGTGTGATGATTGTGTATTTGAATTCTGAGAGCTAGTTTTCCTTGGAATGTATTTATGAATTCTGTAATGCTGGGGAAGGTTGCTAAAGAAAACTATTGTTAAACTATTACTATTACTATATTACTATTACTGTGTTACTATTACTATATTACTATTACCTTTTTTTTTTTGTACTATTTAAAACTAATCATGTTTCTGGCTAAATGAGCACAAGCTCACATGTACGCCACCCCTTAAAAAAATAACTCTATGTATGTATCTACTCTTAATAAATACTTTTTAAACTTCAACTTCAACTGGGGAAGGGAACAAGGTCGTAGAGTTGAGCAGAGAGATATTTGTAGTGTAACTTTAGAATTTTTCGTATTATTTTCCTCCCAGTCTGGATCTGAAGCAGGCTATAAGGTTGAAGCGGAGATTAACTGATTTGAGAATGTTTGCAATTTGGGTGCTTCGGTTTTTTTTTTACATTTATCTAGTTCGAGTATGGATATATTCGGAGACGCTGCATCATACAAATATCTGCATTCGAAAAATGGGAACAGGGAAAAGGACGAAACGGAGGAGAGAGAGAAAGACTGGAACAAATGGGGTGGCTTTCCGTTTGGAGATGAACTCGAAATGTCAAGGCATTTGTAAACGCGAAGGCTTCACTGTAATAAACATTGTATCGCTCTCTCCCTCCCTCTCACATATATATATATATATGAAAGAAGAATAAGATAAAAGGGGTGAGTTGTATCCAAAGCGAGCGAGAGAGAGAGATAGAGGGTGGATAGAGGAGAGTGGATGCTTTCGAGTCTCCAGTAATCGCGTATTCACAACCGGATGAATAAATGAATATATTTGTTTAAGCTTTCAGAAACAAACAGAGGCGAGGCGAGTCTGGCAGTATTCAATGTTCGATTTCATGAATGAGAATCCTGCTGTTATATGGCTCGAGCCTTTCCTGCAAAACACCTACAGCCACCGACGTCGCTTTATCTCAACGCTAATTGTTCGTCCTGTCGTCGCGTCTCTCCGCTTCAACCTGGCAACATCTGATTCCTTTATTTTCGCCGACAGCGAGGACAAAGCTCGAAAAGAAGAGGAAGAGAAACGAGGCACATCTATATATATATACACACACACACAGACACACAAATGAAACAAATGGCAAGGAATTACGCTAACACGATTCCCCTAAACACCCCCCAACATTTAATCATCGCTCGCAACCAAATTCGGTTTGGTTTCATCATTCACAAAACTTTTGAAATTCCCTCACATTTTACGTAATTATTCCCTGATAGATTTACGATTTACATGTCAATTTTACAGAAATATATACAGAACCATTCACTTATATTTTACATTTTTAAACGTATTACAAAAAAAAAACCTAGGGAAAACTATCGAAAACTACCAGATTTTCAATAATATTACATTTTGAACAGAGGAGTGTTGAATGAAACTTTTGAAATTCCCTCACATTTTACGTAATTATTCCCTGATAGATTTACGATTTACATGTCAATTTTACAGAAATATATACAGAACCATTCACTTATATTTTACATTTTAAACGTATTACAAAAAAAAAAAAACCTAGGGAAAACTATCGAAAACTACCAGATTTTCAATAATATTACATTTTGAACAGAGGAGTGTTGAATGAAACTTTTGAAATTCCTTCACATTTTTGATAGATTTACGATTTACATGTCAATTTTACAGAAATATATACAGAACCATTCACTTATATTTTACATTTTAAACGTATTACAAAAAAAAAAAAACCTAGGGAAAACTATCGGCCTTCTTCAAAAAGAAAATTGTTAAAAATGTATATCCACAAATAAAATTTAGTTATTACCAGATTTTCAATAATATTACATTTTGAACAGAGGAGTGTTGAATGAAACTTTTGAAATTCCTTCACATTTTTGATAGATTTACGATTTACATGTCAATTTTACAGAAATATATACAGAACCATTCACTTATATTTTACATTTTAAACGTATTACAAAAAAAAAAAAACCTAGGGAAAACTATCGGCCTTCTTCAAAAAGAAAATTGTTAAAAATGTATATCCACAAATAAAATTTAGTTATTACCAGATTTTCAATAATATTACATTTTGACGCATATAAAAAATGGTTCGATTTAGTTTAATGTTTTGTTTCCTATTGTTTTTTGCAATTAACTACAAGATCCGCATTTTCGAAGGACTTAAATTACCAACATCCTCGCAACGACTTTTCTTCTGCAGAGCAGTGTTGAATGGAAGGAGCAGGGTTGTTGTGGGTGGTTGTCATCGAGTCGACAGGGTTTTCCGCCTACTGGACTTAATTTCCTTGCATCCCGAAGCACCGCGCATTCTTGCAATTTCCTGGCCATTAAGTCCGGGCGCAAATCCAACTAGACCGTTTCCGCCGGAACCACCCCCCATCTCCTCCTCCTCACGACTTTTACACCACCCCAACAATTCCATCGCCACCCCCCCCCCATGCTTATTTATGTACATTAGAACTTCCTTCGCCTCCGCTCGAAGAAAGATCGCGGCCGGCGCAAACAACTAATGATGCGAGAATGAAAAACCGCCATCCATTCGCAACCAACTCGAACCACTCCGGATTAGAATTCCACGCTCGTACATCCCAGCGAGGCTGTAGGGATGAACGAATACACTTTCCACGTTGCAACTCCTAAACTAATTACGGAATCGATCTGCATCGCGAGGCCAGAAAGACTTCCGCTTCACCTGCTCGCCAATTTCATAATATGTTTTCCACGTTCTATACCGGATATCCCTTACACACACACACACACACATACATAATCTATATATATATAGAGAGAGAGATGGTGGGTTGTGAACAAATTAAATCTTGGTCGATTAGGAGGCAGCGAGGTGAAGGGTTCGTCTAGTTTCACGGCTCAGCGACCCGCGTGATTTTCACCTAAGCCACCCCACAACCTTTCCGAATACTCTTTTTTTTTATTTGCACCCTCTCCTCCCACCCACTTTCAATATACCTTTACCAATATATATACCTATTCCTATATATACACCTATTTCCATCGTCATTATTATCATAGCCACTAACCGTTTGGAACTTGGAAATTTATGCAATCATCGCACCCGGATGGAGATATAAAATTTAACGTTGCATAAAATCCCCCAAAATATCGATCACACGTCCGCGCACACAGAAACAAATTCTAAGTATATTAGAACATATCTGCATATTAAGTAATCTAAAATTAACCTGTCGATTGAAAAGCGGCGAATTTTATTCAACGATTTTGAAAGTAAAACGCTGTTATTTCCCCATTCATTTATTGTCAATACAAATTAACCGGCAAATGCATCACGAATCAGTGTGTGTGTGTGTGCGGATGCAGCTGAAAAGTGTTTCCATTTCGAAATGTTTATTTGATGACCACGAAGCGATCCGCGAAGCGCATTAAAATATTAATTAAAATTTATACCGAATGCAGCGCAGAAATTCCCATCTTTCATCAACGATGAAATTTCGATAGAGCGACAGGCTGCATTAATTGAACGATTTCAATTTTCAATATGGACCACAATTTATCCGTCTTTATTTCAAATTATTAAGTATTCAAGTATTAATTACAATTATATTATTAATAATTTATTTATAATTTATTTATTTATAATTATTTATTTATAATTATTGAAACAGAATTCAGACATTTCTCATAGTTTCAATTTCTCAATGTTCAATTTGTATGAATTTGGACCACAATCTATCCGTCTTTATTTCAAATTATTAAGTATTCATTACAATTATATTATTAATAATTGTCCTCATTTATTTATTATTCTTGAAATAGAATTCAGACATTTCTCAAAGTTTTCAATGTTCAATTTTATTACGAATGCAATTCTCATCTTTCGTCACTGATTCGTCACTTTGTAAAATAATAATAATAATAATGTTTATAAATTAAGCAATTAAAATGAGCTAAAGTCACTAATTAATATCTTAAAATATATAATTTATAATTAAATGAGATTTTCAACAATAGTTACAATTACTTTAAGTTTTCATATAAAATTTTGAAATTTCTCAAAGTTAAAATTTATTCCGAATGTAATTCTCATCTTTCGCCGCTGAAATTTCGATACATGATAGGTGAATCAATCAAACATCAGTTTCAAATTATTGATTATATTGTAATTGTCTTCATTTACTTATAATTTTTCATATAAAATTCAGAAATTTCTCAAAGTTAAAATTCATTCCAAATGTAATTCTTATCTTTCGCCGCTGAAATTTCGTTACATGATAGATGAATCAATTGAAATTCAGTTTCGAATATTAATTATATTGTAATTGTCTTCATTTACTTAAATTTTTTCAAATAAAATTCAGAAATTTCTCAAAGTTAAAATTTATTCCAAATGTAATTCTCATCATTCGTTGCTGAAATTTCGTTACATGATAGATGAATCAATTGAAATTCAGTTTCGAATATTGATTATATTGTAATTGTCTTCATTTACTTATAATTTTTCATATAAAATTCTGAAATTTCTCAAAGTTAAAATTGATTCCGAATGTAATTGTCATCTTTCGCCTCTGAAATTTCGATACATTATAGATGAATCAATTGAAATTCAGTTTCAAATTATTGACTATATTGTAATTGTCTTCATTTACTTATAATTTTTCATATAAAATTCAGAAATTTCTCAAAGTTAAAATTAATTCCGAATGTAATTCTCATCTTTCGCCTCTGAAATTTCGAATTTCTATAGATGAATCAATCAAACTTCAGTTTCAAATATTGATTATATTGTAATTGTCTTCAGTTACTTATAATTTTTCATATAAAATTCAGAAATTTCTCACAGTTAAAATTTATTCCGAATGTAATTCTCATCTTTCTTCGCTGAAATTTCGATAAATGATGGATGAATCAATTAAACTTCAGTTTCAAATTATTGACTATATTGTAATTGTCTTCATTTACTTATAATTTTTCATATAAAATTCTGAAATTTCTCACAGTTTAAAATTTATTCCGAATATAATTCTCATCTTTCGCTGCTGAAATTTCGATACATGATAGATGAATCAATTGAAATTCAGTTTCAAATATGGACTATATTACAATTGTCTTAATTTACTTATAATTTTTCATATAAAATTCAAAAATTTCTCAAAGTTAAAATTTATTCCGAATGCAATTCTCATCTTTCGCCTCTGAAATTTCGTTACATGATAGATGAATCAATTGAAATTCAATTTCGAATATTGACTATATTGTAATTGTCTTCATTTACTTACAATTTTTCATATAAAATTCTGAAATTTCTCACAGTTAAAATTTATTCCAAATGTAATTCTCATCTCTCGCCTCTGAAATTTCGATACATGATAGATGAATCAATTGAAATTCAATTTCGAATATTGATTATATTGTAATTGTCTTCATTTACTTACAATTTTTCATATAAAATTCAGAAATTTCTCACAATTAAAATTTATTCCGAATGTCATTTTCATCTTTCGCCTCTAAAATTTCGATACATGATAGATGAATCCATCAAACTTCAGTTTCAAATATTGACTATATTATAATTGTCTTCATTTACTTATAATTTTTCATATAAAATTCAGAAATTTCTCACAATAAAATTGATTCCGAATGTAATTCTCATCTTTCGCCTCTGAAATTTGGAGGCAGTGTCAGTGGAGACCAGTATTAACATAATCTTAGGGAAGTGCGAAACAGCAAAGACAATCAGGTTTCCTCTCCTCCACAAAAACAAAAAAAAGATAGGTTAAAAATTGAAAACTTTTTGGTAGTTTCACTGCGAGCTGAAACTTTAAATGTTTATTTTCAAAATTTGCTTTTGCTTTAAAGCAAATACGCTTGAGGATATGACTAATTAATTACATTCCCATTAAATATTCATGTTTAACCTATATACATTAAGTGAGCTTGTTTTCCTTCTCGAATAACATGTTTTTTCACTTGATAATTAATGCTCGGATAATTACGGATGCACCGGGTTACAAATACAAAATTTATCCAAAATTCTCTGAGGATATTTTTAATTAATTAAAACACGCATCAAACATGCACGTTTAGTATTTGTTGCGTTCATTTAATATGCATTCGGTGATGGTTAATGAGTGGCTCGGATAATTGTGGATCCGATATAATCCTGCGACTGTGGTCAAAGGAAACATTGATTTAATAACGTTCGTCGCATATTTTCCTCGTACAAATGTATTTGCATGTATATTTGCGTGTATGTATTTGTATGAGCGTATTCAATTACGCGGAACGCGCTGTTTTTGATTTATGCCTCCATAAAAGAACAGATTTCATTAAAGCAGTAACAAAGCGAAATCGATCGGACTTTTTAATTAAAACGGTTATACGGCTACTACTATTCCGTCCACCGATTCCTCCTTTTTTTAATATATTTTTATTTCCTTTCGGTGCTCACATATTTTTACCTATATAAATACACTCAATCAAACAGAAATCCATTCAATAAACCAACGATTGTTTTCGTTTTTTTCTTCTTTCATCGAGGATCTCTTTGTACGTTCTTAATTGAGTTTCGCAAATACATGTGGAAAGTGTTTGGATAGCGGCGCTGTGTTGATGTTAATCAATCCAAGCTGTTCGCGAAATCATCAACATGATGATGATCAACATCATCATCATCATGTTGATGATAATGATTGGGGGGGATGATCGCGGCGGCTGTGGCAAAGCAACGCGAACTGTCTGAATAACAATCAATTCCCAGCTCGTTTCGCTTTAATGTTATGCGAAGGGCCCTGATTGCTGATTTAGCTCGACGCCGATTGTTTGCACTATCTGTGCGGAATCAGTGTGTGCGGTCTCGGGGGTAATCTGAGAAACTTGGCTCCGTGAACATCCGCGGGATAATGAGGAGGAGAAGGAAGAGAGGGTTTAGTTTTGGAAATGGTGCTGCTCGTTCACGCAGACTTTTAATTAGTTTAAAATGATCCCAGCGGCGGGAAGGGAATGGAAGAAAAAGTTTATCGTAGAGATGAAGAAGGCTTACCCTTGATTTCTTGAGTGGTTTCTATGATGTGATCGCGCTGCACGTCTTCCGCAGGATCGGCGAGTAGGCGAACGGTTACATTGAGGGGTTGCAGACTCGCTGGTCCGTGCAGGGTTACCAACACCGCCGTCGTCTTTCCGGGAACGGCCAATTCAGGAGCAACCACTGAAAATCCACTGAAAAAACAATACAAATACTATTAATTACATACGCTTTTCGTTAACACAAATAATAGCTACGCGATACTCACCAAGTAACACGTTATAAACTACTTAAATAATAAGCAAAATTACACAACACGACAATTCTTAATAAACGTCAAACTGATTGTTTTCTAAGCGCCTTCGATCGGTCAATTATGTAACTTCGTTTTTTTTTGTTATTATGTTTCAGTTGCGTAACATCCTTAATCATAAACGTCGCTTATTTAAATATGGGAAAACATGTTTTGAGCCAAAAAATTACATGATTTATGTAAATATGTAAATAAAAGTATTAAACGAAATATCAAATATGATATTATATATTATATATCAAGCGGTGATTTTTGTAATCATTTTTAACTATTTGATGCAAACATCACGTTGTTTGTTAATTAAAAAAAAGCTATCGACAATTTGACCGGTGCTACAATTCTATTCTTCTAATTACGAAATTATATTTTTATTTTTGATGTTTGTAAGTAGATTATATTTCAATACATATATTTTAAAAAAATAATAAAATGTTATATAATTTTAACTGTGCCATCAAGCGGTGATTTATGTAATCATTTTTAACCGTATGATGCAAACATCACGTTGTTTATTAATTAAAAAAAAGCTATCGACGCTGTGCTACAATTCTATTATTTTAATTATATTTTGATGTTTGTAACTTAATTACATGATTGAAGTAGATTATATTTCCATAAATATATTTGAAAATAATTATAAAATGTTATATATAATTTTAACTGTGCCATCAAGCGGTGATTTATGTAATCATTTTTAACCTTATGATGCAAACATCACGTTGTTTATTAATTAAAAAAAAGCTATCGACAATTTGACGCTGTGCTACAATTCTATTGTTCTAATTATATTTTGATGTTTGTAAGTTGATTACATGATTGAAGTACATTATATTTCCATAAATATATTTGAAAATAATTATAAAATGTTATATAATTTTAACTGTGCCATCAAGCGGTGATTTATGTAAACATTTTTAACCGTATGTTGCAAACATCACGTTGTTTATTATTTAAAAAAAAGCTATCGACAATTTGTCGCGGTGCTACAATTATATTTTTCTAATTACGAAATTATATTTTGATGTTTGTAAGTTGATTACACGATTGAAGTACATTATATTTCCATAAATATATTTGAAAATAATTATAAAATGTTATATAATTTTAACTGTGCCATCAAGCGGTGATTTATGTAATCAATTTTAACCATCTGGTGCAAACATCACGTTGTTTATTAATTAAAAAAAAGCTATCGACAATTTGTCGCGGTGCTACAATTCTATTCTTCTAATTACGAAATTATATTTTGATGTTTGTAACTTAATTACATGATTAAAGTAGATTATATTTCAATAAATATATTTGAAAATAATTATAAAATGTTATATAATTTTAACTGTGCCATCAGCCGGTGATTTATGTAATCATTTTTAACCGTATGTTGCAAACATCACGTTGTTTATAAATAAACAAAAAGCTATCGGTTATGTGACGTGTTGTGAAAGTGAAATTTTAGTTTAAAACATGTTTTGATTTTCTACATTGAACTAAATTACATGATAATTAATTAAGTGTTATAATTGAAGAAATGTGCTAATTTTGAAAATGCTGTAACATAAGGTGAGTGGATAAAATATTCCTTACATATTTAAGAAAAATATTGAAACAAGTATTGATATAATTTAACCAATGAAATGTTGTTCCAATTGTTTTATCTTTTGTTATTGAGCAAAGCAACTTTGATGATTTTATTAGTATTTTATTTAAAGCAGAGAGTCGAATCGGAACCGAACCGAAAACCGTAAAAAGAAATTAACCGGAATTTTTAATAGAACCGTAACTGTAACCGGAAAGTGTTTTATCTTTTATTATTGAGCAAGGCTATTTTGATGATTTCATTAGTATACTATTTAAAGCAGTGAGTCGAAACGGAACCGAACCGAAAACCGTAAAGCAAAATTAATCGGAATTTTTAACAGAACCGTAACTGTAACCGGAAAGTGTTTTATCTTTTATTATTGAGCAAGGCTATTTTGATGATTTTATTAGTATTCTATTTAAAGCAGAGAGTCGAACCGGAACCGAACCGAAAACCGTAAATGGAAATTAACCGGAATTTTTCACAGAACCGTAAATGTAACCGGAAAGTGTTTTATCTTTTATTATTAAACCAAATGGCTTAATTGAAAAACCGAAATCGGAATTTTAATTACGGTTAATTTCGGTTAATTTTTTCTATCATGTATACTCTTTGATGGTAGTGTACCGGTGCTAGTATTTTGGTTTATTTATATAGACGATCGAAAAAAATAATTTTTCGACATTGAGTTGGTCGGTCTATTGTGAATAGAGTAAATAAACAAACAATGTATAAGAGACATTCACGAAGTCTCTTTGAATTCTCCGAATTCGTTTTTTCCAAATAAACAAATACGTAATAAAACTATCTAGGAATTAGGAAACGCTTAATCATCATAATTTACACCCCATAATAATAAGAATTGATTTATTAATAAACGGAAACCACGCCGCAAACATATTGAGAATTTTTGTCATGCCGAATATGAAGAACTTCAAAAACAAAAGAGAAACATTGTAGAAGAAAGAGCACAAGTCTTGCGTAACTTTCTTGAGGTTCATTTCTTTTGTATTTTCAATATTATAATTGAAAAGGAAAGAAGGAAATTTGGTAAATAAAAATTAAACCAAATTTGATATTTGACTCTATTTTAAATTTTAACTTCAACCGGAACTGAACCGGAACCGAACTGAACCATATACATTTACTTGGAACGTAACGAAATTAATTTCGGTTCGACTCTCTGATTTAAAGTAAGATATCTCACTTTTCTAATCAAGTTAAATGAAAACTTGATTTATAATTATTTACTAAACATTTACTAAAATTACTAAATTTTAATTAATTGACCAATTGGGATTAATATTTTACAAAAAATTTAAATTGTTCTGCTGGGAATGCTGAAGCGCCAACGATTTAATATTAAGTGCAGCCAAGTGACATGTGTAACGGTATTAATCCGTAAAGCCGGTGGGTGGATGCGTCGGTGGATTTATCTATAGTTTATACCTCCCTTCGGTCATAAACTGTTCGGGCTAAGCGTTTAGCCTACACTTGATTTACGACCCCGATCACCTTAGTAGTTGATTATGTACGTTGCAAGGGCTGAATTATCGATCAAAATTGAAGTAAAGGAAAAAAGGATGTGCGTGTCCTTTTCGTTTTCGTTTCGAGTGCGTGAGAAGCGTTGCAAATTGACGGGCACAGCTGGAAAAGGGGGGCATCTGTTGAATATGTTAAAGCGTACGAGGGCGGCTCGATGTCAAGTGCGTGTTGCACACATTAAACCCAAACTGTGCAAGTTTGAATGCGTGTGTTTGTTTTTGGGAATTGTTACGTAGTAGTAAAGTTAGCTACTTAGTCGGCTCAAACGTTAATTAGTTATTCTGATAGTCGGGCTGGCGAGTGGCACATATTTCATTGGATAATAATTAGTCAAAGCGGCCTCATCAAAGGTTTTCCTCTCCTCTCCTGCACTCGGCTTTCCATCCACTCGACGTGTGCAGCACACAGCACACCCATCCATGTTATTGTTACATCCTCCTCCTCTGTTATTGCAGCAATTTGCAATTTGGCCCAAACAAACAATTACTTGAAATCGGTAGGCCGCTGCTGCGGATTGATTCCGAATACAATCGGGCCACAGATTACCTCGTTACACAATGTTGTTGTTGTTGTATATATATATATTTGCAACGCTGTCGAACTAGCAGCCAACAGTTAACCCGGAAATAAGCCCGTAAATATTAATAACGCGATATAATGAGTGCAAATATCGCGCGCACGGATTGCTAATAAATTTAAAGCCACGTACGCCATTTATCCAATTTCGCCATCCCCTATACGACCAACATCCTCTCCACCCCCGGCTACTGCTGCACTCGCTCCGACAACTAATTACGTTACGTCGAAAATTTACTTCGTTCATTTTTCCCCCCTTCACGCGAAACTTCCAAATATAAATTAAGTAGTCGCGCTTTCGCAAACTCGCAGCAGTTCATAATACGTAATCCAATTTTCAATGAATAATTCACTTAACTCCCAACCATTTATTCCTTAAGTATAGACACACACTCATACATATATATATATATACGTACAGTTCAAATGAAGCTTTACATCTCATTAACTTTATTACCAAACTAGTTCCAAATTATCGATGCTTTCCAAACTGAAATACCTTAATAATTTATGTCATTCACTTCAAGTTATCATAATTCAATTGAAAACTGCCTAACAAAATTAACATTATTTATAACCTAGTCTCAATACAGTTGAGAATTAAATTTTATTTTATTTTTTCATTATTAATCTGCTTGACTATAGTATCAGATATTTATTGTAATCTTAAATATTCAAACTTAAATAATAATAGGGCAGATGTTTGTGATTCACTAGAATCAAATATTAATACTGGTTAATAATCTATAGTAAAAGGAGATTTACAGTAAAAGAGATTAAATTTTCCATTAGGTTTTAGGTTTAATTAAATATTAATTTAAATCTAAAATTTCCATACTTAAATCATAAACTATATTCCAAAGTTTAAGGAATTAATGTAAATCAGGATGAAATTTACTGAAATTAAAAAAAAAAGGATAATTATAATTTGTAATTTCTTAATGTTAAATTTTATAACATTTTCACTGCTGATTTCACTAGATGATTTCTAATAAAATTAATATAAAAATTGCGTTTATATTAATGTTGATATAAATTGTCGATTTATCTTGTATAAAGTCTCTGGTATTTATGAACGTACAGTTCAAATGAAGGTTTAAATCTCATTAACTTTATTACCAACCTAGTTTCAAATTATCGATGCTTTCCAAACTGAAATACGTTAATAAGTTATGTCGTTC